AATGATTCTCAAACCTTTGTTTGAGGGTTCACACTATTTGCTCGTACACCGACATGGTTCATTAAATTATTTCCAGGGTCTAATTTAGCTAATTTGGGCTGTGAGACTTTGGTTCTGAGATGGGTTCTGAGATTAGTTCTGAGACATGGACAATGAGATTTGGGCTATGAGATTTGGACAGTGAGATTTGGGAAATGAGACAAGAAAATCTAACTCTTACATTGTAGCGTTATATTGTTGCTAAATCTAATATTTTTTGTTTTCTCAAGCCTAACGCTACCCCTTAAGGTTTTTGTTCAATCGTTATTGTAATTAATATTAATTTAAACATAACACTCGAAGACTACACATGTGTTTTGGTTGATGTGTATTTTTTTAGAGATCTTAAAACAACAACTGGTGTGTGAACATCCAGACATTCTGTGCATTACAAAAGCAAGAAAAATATTAATAGCTGTGTTGTAATAGAAGCGGAGAGATTGTGTGCAAGTTAATGTGGGCGGGGGTGTAATGGGGAAGGGCAGACAATAAGAGAAAATAGAATGAGATGGGATTACGAGACGACAAGGAGCGATGTTAATGGAAAACAATATAAAGGATGAGAAATGAAACAGAGACATTATAACGTTAACAAATAGTTTTGTTTTAAATATAATAAAATAAAAAACAATGGCAGCAACAGATTATAAAAAAAATTTCCGAGTGTGAAAACACGAAACAAAACTAATGTGTAATAATTAAAATAGGATTTTTTTTTTTGACGTGGGTAATAGGAAAAATAAAAATAAAAACTTTGGAAAAAAATAAATGAATATAAAATAAATAATGATAAAAATAATTATTTAAAAAAAACTGTTGAAGAGAGAAATGTGTGCTTAAATGTTGGAAGAACCACAACAATCCTGAAATTACAATCAGAATGAAGCATCGCTTCCCCGGGTAAACTAGCTGATAGCTCTAGTATTATGTTGGGGAAATTGTATCCGTATCGACCGGAGTAAATGAGATATGTGATTTTTATTTAACTAAAAAAATATAATAATTGATGGTTAAAAAAACATATTTTAATGTCATTACCTCTGTATAATTGATCTTAGTGTTTTTTTTTCCCTTCGTCGTCATGAAGCTTGGCAGTGATTATTTTTCTAGTTTTCTGCAATAATTATAGATAATAATAGATCTGCAAATAACGTGTTCGGTTCATGGTGAGCGATATTTATTACTGAAAGGGGGGGGGGGGGAATTGGTACAAGGGAGGGAAAAGGAGGGAATCTATTTATGCTATCATATTGTTTACCTCGGAGTTTTATAAATAGAGCTATTGATTGGGTCTCTCTATTATTTAAAAAAAAATCTATTTAAGCGTATTTTTATACTGCTTCAACAGGAAAAGTGATTTTTTTTCACATTACAAAATTTAAAAAAAAAAGCTTTACTAGCATCGATTTATCTCTTTTTGGAATTATCTCTCATTCTTCATTACTTCCCATTAACGACAGTAGGTGACGCCCCCGTGAGGCAGTCATGTCATACATTATTTAAAAGGGGTCAAACATTCCCCAGACATCAGTTCTATAAATAGATTCGTCATTTGGTTCGAGGATAGATGAGGCTGACCCGAGGACACGTCATCGGTCAAAGGTTGCTAATACAAGCGACAATTGCAATCCATCTCGCGTTCAGCATTGGCCGAGGTTCACGATCTTAAGTATGTTGCCGTTTTATGCACCTTTCTGTATTTGCGGTCTTTATATTATTTATTTTCATGTATTCTTCTATAGTTGTGGTGTGCAGGGTGCCTTATCATAAAAAAAAGAACAATGACTTAATGACTTTAAAAAAAAAGAAATTTTGTTGCTTATTTTTAAAAAAATGTATTCCTTCTTTTTTTGGGTTAAGTTTCATTATTAGCAATACATTTGTAAACCCCTGTCAATTAACAGTTTGAGAATCGTCGTTGGAAGATTAACATTGATACAGATTCTGTCCCAACCCATGATTAGATTATTGGATTTTATATCAGTTACAGCAATTTCCGAGGTAATAATTTAAACGTTAATTTACATTTCCTCGTGTGGATAGAGATTGGATTATCTAATCTTGGCAGGAAAGGGGAGGAGGGAGGGGGGGGGGGGAGATTGAGAAAAGGTTTTTAAATGGAAGAGAGGAAACGATTTTTTTTCCTTCTCTTCAGTAATTACCTGATAATGGCTTAACTGAAATGCAGAGATTACTTGCGGGGATGTTTAAATAAGAGTAATGGGATGTCATGTTCGTTTGTATGTGTGTCGCGTTCCTGCGCATGTCTACATCTTAACAGTTATTTTAATTATGGAAAAAGGCATTGGATATATATTTATGTTTGTGTTAGTGTTTGTGTTTGTGTTAGGTTTGCGGTTTTTTTTGGTGGATTTCCTAAGTCCCGACAATGCCTGGTATATGCTGATTATAAAACACACATGTCATGGTCGTTTACAGATAGGTTTTTCACAGTGGCCAGTGCAGGGCCTGACCGGGAGGGCTAGTAAGTATATATATATATATATATATATATATATATATATATATATATATATATATATATATATATATATATATATAATTCGTTGAACACGAATTCGTGTTTATAAAAAAAGAAAATCAGCCATCATGGATTTTTCTTGGTTTCGTATAAAAAAAAATCGTGTGTGAATATAATTCGCCCCCCCCCCCCCCCCAAGCTATATGAACGTTGGACATTATCATAAAAGATCGGCGCCATGTGGTATGTTACACCCGTGTTTCAAAACCCACTTTTTTCTACACCAACCGTCCCGACCACTTGCCTATCCTAACCTCTCCCACTTTCCTACCCCCACCCCTCCCAACCACCCGCCCACCCCTCCCACTTTCCTACCCCCACCCCACCCAACCACTTGCCTGTCCCCACCCTTCCCACTTTCTTACGCCCCCCCCCCAACCACCCCCCCACCCCCACCATTCCCACTTTCTTACCCCCACCCCTCCCAACCACCTGCCCACCCCCACCCCTCCCACTTTTCTACCCCCACCCCTCCCAACCACTTCCCCATATGCTCGAAGTAAGGTTCTAATTAACACTCCACGTCATCAATATTAAAAACGCACGGTGAATAATTAATTTATACGCCACGCTACACCAACGACACCAACATTTTAACTGTGACATTTTCTTGAAAAATATTATTTTTTTTAAATTCTTTAAAAAAACTGGGTAACAATTTTTAGCGACGTGTGCCTATAACTCACCCAGAAAATACATTAATCGTATCATGTTGACTTGGTTGTTTCAACCCTGTCGCAACGTTTGTCGGATTTTTAGGTTTTAAACTAATGTTGTTTCAAGAGCTTTCGCCTTGTCACAGTTGCACAAGTTTGTTTGACCTTTTGTCATGTCTAAATAGAAACAAAAATGGCGTTTAACTTTTACGTTAAAAACATGTTTAAAATTACGTTTTGAAGTTCGACGAAAATCGATTTCTCTCCTTTAAGAATTATGGCTTTCGGTTTTCTTTGTTTTCTGTTGTTTTTTATTTTTTTTTTAACTTGAATAATCGAAGCACGCCTTTAAAGACGATTTTGTCTTGAAAATAATTAATGTAGGACTACAAAATTAGTCGGTTATGCTGGAAAGTGTTTACATATTCGCTTTGCATATTTTTTTACGCTTGTACTCAACATGTGGTGCGCAAAACACAGTGCGCAAAACATGGTGCTTAAATCCTACTAAAACGTCAGCAGAAAATCTTTTAGTTAAGTTTTGTTTTAGATGAAAATGAAGTAATATTAGCATCATGGGACTAATTCCATTTTTTTTTATTTTAAAAAAATGGGGGAAAAAAACGACATTTCATTCGAACGAGTTTTTATTTTGTGTAAACGTATACATAAGTGTGAAAACGGGAGGGTGGTTGGTAAAAACAATTAAAGCTCTCTAACCAATTGTCACCTCTGGTTTTATTAGGTGACAATGTCACACCTTGTTTTCTTGCGGGAGGCAGCTGTCGATCGGTCGAGACTTGTGATGGAGTGTCCTGGGCATAAATACTTAAATACGCGCGGTCCGGGGGGACGGGAGAGTGGGTTCAAAACCATATGGGTCGTCTGGCTTTCAGTAAAAATGTTTTTTTAACAGTGGTTTTGATAAAGTGGTTTCGAGGCTATGTGGATTTCATTGTTTTGTTTTTTTGAAACGGCATTATTTGCAACAGTGTAAATTGGTGTTTAATATTTTCTCCGGTCGATGGTTTGGATAGCCAACTGTGGTTATAGTTATAATCTAATTAGTTTTTATACAAGGTCTGTATTTCAGCGTGTAGTTTGTTCTTTGTACTTGTTGCATAATTAATCTCTGATCTTTGTCTATTCATCGACACGGTATTGTGTGTGTGTGTTTTTTTTTAAATTTAATTATCTCGAGTTGTTTCTTTGTTCTGTCACATATTGCTTCGTGGGTTTAGTTTATTTATTTCTTATATCATTTTGTAGTTTTTGTTTAATTTGTATTTTTTTTCATTCATTACTTTTCGTCCATTGAAATACATTGAAAGTTAAAAGTATCTTGTTGTTTCTGTAATTTAATCAGAAATTATTTATCTTGCCGAATGTTATACAATATATATATATATATATATATATATATATATATATATATATATATATATATATATATATATATATATGATCTTGGAGGTTGTGCTATAGGTCGAGATTATATTTGATATGATTTATTTATTTTCCATAAACAGGTCACACGAAAACCCAACCGACATTATAGTTTTAGCCTTAACGTCTAAAAATAAACCAAACCTAGTTGTTTTTTTTTTACTATAACATTATTTTTTTGTCTCTGTTCACCTTGTTTTTTTAAATAGACTAACCGTTTTTCTCTTTACAATGAACTATAGCTATAAATATAAGTTAGCTGTACAAATCTGATTTTGTTTTGATTGTTGTTGCAACCTGTCGTCTGTCCTTATTTCAGGCCATGCGAGCTGCCACCATTGACCAGTGACTAATCACAGTTGACCTACTGAGCTATTTTATAACCAGGTGTATGACAGACGCGCGGACCTCCAGTAAGTCATTTTTTTGTGTTAATTGGTAAATTAAAGCGTCTATGAAATTAATTATCTTATAATTGTAACATTCCAGAATAGGAATTCAGCATAGTAACACACAATTAAAAATAAACCGGGAGTGATCTCCCCTAAACTTTCTCGAATATTCTTATATAAAATAACAGGGGATGGGAACTCGGGCTATAGACATGATTTTTAATCCATTTTAAATACTTAAAGTTTTAAAAATAGAATAAAATCTCGTAGACAAATTAATTGCACACCAAGTGAACGCCAAATAAAAAAGCGCATAATGGTGCGCAATATTATTATTACTTTTAAAATTTACATTAGTTTTTTGAGAAATCAGAGATAGCGTAAAGTACTACTTCCAGTCAACGGAAATGACTCAAAATTTGATAGAAGGTAGAGAATTAGATCTTTTACTTACATATGAAATTTAATTTATCTATCTGAAATAGTACTCAAGTTATAGGCTTTTGAAAAATTCAAAGTAGGAAAAGTACCACTTCCGGTTATCGGAAATCGCTCAAAAGTTGATACGGATCTACGATTTTGATAAAATACTTATATATGAAATTTCATCAACCTAGCTGTAACGGTTCTCAAGTTATCGTGTTTACACACGGACAGACAGACACACAGACACACAGACAGACACACAGACATACGGACAAGATTGCAAAATTATGTTTTTCCGTATCAGTGAGGTGTGAAACGTCGAGATTTGTAAAAATCTCGATTTTTTTTTTGCACGATTACAAGACTTTCTCTATACTTCGTATATACGAGAAAGTAAAAACATAAAATTCTTCTTATAGAAGTTCGACAACCAGACATTCTCGAGCTATTATTATTTAAATTAAAAAACCGTACTTAATTAAATATTCTTTGTATACAACGATCACTTGATACAAGCTGTTCGCCTTGAGAAACATAACCGGTTCTTTTATACTGCTGACTCTATAATGTCTATTCAATGGGGGCAAAAAAGAGATCAGCACTATTTATAGCTCGCGCCCATTGCGCATGCGTGACTTTTCTACTACTACAGGAACAAAATAGGTCAGTGTTGATCTGAACGTCGTCTATCGCTGTGTACTCTAAATATTAGTTTTATGAATAAATCATGCGTACTTTTTGTAGTGTGTGGTGTCTTTTAAATAGGAACAAATTTTAATGCGATTAGTTGGCAGCCGTTTACAAAAAAAAAAAATGGTTTCTGTAAGATGAAAATGGCGTGCTTTTTCAGTGAAACATTCAATGCCTGTCATGTAATATTGATGATACCGCACGAATTTACAATTTCCTAAAAAAAATGTTTTTTTATCTAAAATATTTTATTTAAACGTAGGGAGTGGGCGGCCTTTCAGTTTGAAATTGATCGTTCGGTACTTTAAAAAATATCATTAATGTTTTACAACTATACTTAAAATATTAGCTTCATTTAAAAAAGAAATTCTTTCTCTCTTGTCAACACGATCAGATATTTAAAAAAAATGTTCTCATATAGATCTAGTACAAGGTCTTAGAAAATTGAAACGATAATTTATTTTATAAAGCTTTTTTTTTTTTGCTTAAAAAAATAAAAGCATAAATTTACTTTTTCCCCCTATTTTTTTCTGCTCGATGGTTAATTAAATTTGGATGAGATTTTTAATGGCTTTTATGTCACACCCCCCCCCCCCCCGGCTACTCTGCTACCTGTCTGGAAGAAATATTAGCAGCTTTTTACAATGCGACAGAACATACAGACACACATACACACACGACACAATCACTTACACATAACACAACACACACAGCCTATAGCCACGTATGTGAAAACCTCATAACCGCCCCTCCACCTCCTCCCCCCACTCTACACAATCACAAACCATAGGCACAAGTGTGAAAAAATGTGACACATTTATAACCTAGCACATAACAGCCCACTTACGTACACGATATGTACATTTTTATGTGTTTTTTTGTGTGTTTTTTTGTGTGTTAAAACAGAAATTCAATAACTAGACTCGATATGCATTCTATAGAGGAATCTTTACTACATTTTTATATAACTTTTATGTGTCTATTCAGTTTTATGTGTCGAGTCATACGAACTTAATGTTTTACTCGTCCATAGTTCACTCCTAGAATAAATAATACAGTCCGCAACAGATCTATGTTACTGTATATGAATCTGGAAAAGCATTTTTATTTAGCTAAATCTCCCATATATTTTTTCTGTTAGTTATTGAACGATAGTTTTTATAATAATTGTAAGTAAGTAATTTTTTTTTTACCATATATTTTCCTTTAATCACATATCACAAACGCAAACAAACTTCCTTCACTTCACACGCAAACACACACACATTCTTTCCTAATGGGGGAATTAACAAAACATCACTCACACAACCACACACACACGCACTCTCTTGATGGACGAATTAACAAAACATCTCACACTGGGAATTACTTTGTACTCTAGCTCGGAATGTAGTGTAAAAAAAAAGTACGGTAATACAGTTGTGGTAAACAAGCTTTTGAAATTCTCAATCGCTGGAGCTTTTATTGACGTGATGTATTTGTCATGTTATAGACTAGACACTTGGAGTGTTTGTGTGAGTACTGGATGTTCGTTTATTTTGTGTAAAGAAACTTGTAATTTTTAGTGAAGAAACTTGGAACTTTTATGTGAAGGAATAGTTTTTTTTTGTGTCAAAGAAACAAGTGGGTTTTTGTGTGAACACTGGATATTTCTATTTCGTTAAATTAACTCTGTTTCATATCTTACAAAGGAAAAGGGTTATTTTTTAATCAGCAAACTTAATTTCCATTTTAAAAGCTACAGTTTGTAATACTTTAACTTCGTGTAGTAGTTGGTAATCGATTTAGCTTCGGCTAGAATGATAAAACCAGTGCTCTTAGGTTAATTAACAATAGTGAACCGAATTCGAATCTTGGTTGGAAGATTATGTTTTAGATGATGTTTTAGATGATGTTTTAGATGATGTTTTAGAATTTCATTATGTTTTTTTATGTGTTGTACGACAGTATTCAGAAGTAAAAAAAAGTAGGTGAAGGGTTCAGAACAAAGTAATTGATAAATTACCTGATGTTTTTTTTTTTTTAGTGAACTCACTTCGATGTGTGTGTGTTTTTTTTTACAATAATTATCCTGCTATAATTTATATTATCTTTGGCTTGACTCTAAGGCAGAGAATCTCATTAATTTTATGGGTATTCTATTGGCTTCAGAAGAAACGACTTTTCTGTTTGTCATTTAGCATTTTAAAACATTTTTCTTACCTTTATAGCATTTCACCATTTATCACGTATATACTCTTTGTTTCACCACTCTATATCGTCTCACCATTGTTAGGGTTATACTCTTGTCTCACCATTTTTAGGTTTATACTCTTTGTCTCACCACTCTATATCGTCTCACCATTTTTAGGTTTATACTCTTTGTCTCACCACTCTATATCGTCTCACCATTGTTAGGGTTATACTCTTGTCTCACCATTTCTAACTTTTATACTCTCCACCTCCTCTCCATTACTCCACATTATCCCCCCCCCCCCACACCCCCACACTACACCCACACTTTTCTCCTAATCCACCAACACAAATTTACACACTTCACACCAAGATACATCAATCCCATAATCCAATTACAAAATCCACGATACATCCCCCTCCCCCCAGGAACCACCACCACCTACCCACCTACCCCACCCCACCTTGACTCACCTTGCCCTACACGTTCCCACGCCAAAACATCTAGCACATTCTTCAGGTGCAGTCGTTTGGGTCATTGATCGTGTGAGTACAAATTTTTACCTTTCGTTTCTCTCCACACCAATTAGCTTTTTTCTTAAATCCATCCCCCCCCCCCCCCAACAGTGTTTTATTTTTAGTTGTCATTCTTCATGTCTTCGTTCAGAAATTTGTAATTGACAAAACAAAAACAACTTACCTATTTTGCTCAATTTTTTGAAAAAAAAAATGTAAAAAAAAAAATTAAAAATAATTAAAGACTGTTGTTGTAAAGTGCTTCACCGTAATAGACTTTTTAAATAAGTGCTTGTATAGAAAATTGAACGTAAAAAAAAAATGGAACGTGTATTGAAAGACAAACACCACCAGCAGGTGCTATTGCTACTTGCCGATGTGCCGCTTTCTGCCTTGGTTTCTTTCGGCTCCCCCCCCCTCCCTCCCCACGTTGCTTAACTGTAATTTATGGGACGGCGAGGCCTAACGCTACAGCGCTAGACTGCTAACATGAAAGTCTCGAGTTCGAATCCGGGTTCAAGACAGTGAAACGCCCATGAGTCCACTCGTACCTGATAGATACCCGACTTCCGTTCATGACCACACTACTATCCCTTCATATTCTGAGGTCAAGAAACATATGAATCTACTTCATGTGCCTAATGGATTGCTATATCTAAAGCGATATATATATATATATATATGTTACGGTCAAAGCCCGAAGTGCGGCCAAACCCCGGATTGGCCGGCCAATGCGCGGATTGGCCGGCTCTCTTGGCCAAAGCCCGAAGAACTTAGAACTAAGATCGTATTTCGTACATTGGCCGGCCAATGCGCGCACTGGCCGGGACGTACTGGCCAAAGTCCGAAGTGCTTAAACTTGAAAGCGTATTTTGTACATTGGCCGGCCAATGCGCGCATTGGCCGGGATGTCCTGGCCAATGTTCTATCTAGACTAAGTTGTGATCGCGTTTCCATTATTCTGGGTGCGGTTTCATTGTGAGTAACGTATTGTTTAGCTCTTGTTTGTATAGCATTCTATATGCAAGGCGACATGGATCAAAATGGCCGTCAGACCATGAGATAGACATAGCAGATGGCTGTCAAAAGAAAAAATGTAAATCCATGTTAGTTTCCATATATGGGCTACAACTGTAAACTGTACAACAGCCTCCTCCATGATGACGAGGTGAGACAATCATCAAAGAACAAAATCAAAGACAGTCGGCTTCACCGAC